AATAAACAACCTCATGATACATTTCAAGGAACCAGAAAAAGAAGAATAAACTAGGCCCAAAGTCAGCAGTAATAAAGGAAGGAAGGTATTAATAAAGATCAGAGCAGAAATGAAATAGAAACTAGAAAAATAGAAAAGATAACTGAAACTAAGAGTTATTTTTTTGAAATGATAAACAAAATTGTCACATTTTTAGGAAGACTAAGAAAAGAGAGAAGACTTGAATAAAATCAGAAATGAAAGAGGAAACATTACAACTGATACCACAGAAATATGAAGGATCATAAGAGACTATTACAAACAATTATACAATAATAAATTAGATATCCTAGAAGAAATGGATAAATTCCTAGACACATACAACCTACCAAGACTGAATCATAAAGAAATGTAAAACCTAAACCAACCAATAAAGACTAAGGAGAGTGAATCAGTAATAAAAAGTTTCCATTCACAGAGAAGCCCAGGACCTGATGGCTTTACTGGTGAATTCTACCAAATATTTAAAGAAGAACTAATACCAATCCTTCTCAAACTATTCCCAAAAACTGAAGAAGAAATACTTCCAAACACAACTTAAGAGGAAGGCATTACCCTTATACCAAAGCCAAACAAGGATACTACAAGAAAAGAAAATTACAGGCCAATATTCCTGACGAACATAGATGCAAAAATCCTTAGCAAAATACAAATTACATTCAACAGCACATTAAAGGGATTATTCACCATAATCAAGTAGAATTTATCCTAGGGATGCAAGAAGGGTTCAGAATGTGCAAATCAATAAACATGATAAACCACATTAATAGAATAAAGGACAAAAGCCATATGATCATCTCAGTAGATGCAGAAAAAGCATTTGACAAAATCCATTTCCTTTCATGATAAAAACTCTCTACAAATTAGGTATAGAATAAATGTACCTCAATATAGTGTAGGCCATATATGACAAACCCATAGCTAACATCATACTCAACGGTGACAAGTTGAAAGCTTTTCCTCTAATATCAAGAATAAGACAAGGATGCCACTCTTGCCACTTCTATTCAACATAGTATTGGAAATCCTAGCCAGAATAATTATGCAAGAGAAAGAAATAAAGGGCATTCAAATTGGAAAGGAATAAAGTTAAATTGACCCTGTTTGCAGATAACATGATCTTATATAGAGAAAATCCCAAAGATGTCACCGAAAAGCTGTTAGAACTAATAAATAAATTCAGTAAAGTTGCAGGATACAAAATTAACATAAAAAAATCAATAATGGCTGGGCACAGCGGCTCATACATATAATCCTAGCGCTCTGGGTGGCCAAGGCAAGAATATTGCTTGAGCTCAGAAATTCGAGATCAGCCTGAGCAAGAGCGACATCCCGTCTCTACTAAAAATAGAAAAATTAACCGGGCATCGTAGTGTGCACCTGTAGTCCCAGCTACTCAGGAGGCTGAAGCAGGAGGATCACTTGAGTCCAGGAGTTTGAGGTTGCTGTGAGCTAGGCTGATGCCATGGCACTCTACTCAGGGCAATAGAGTGAGACTGTATAGCATTTCTATATACTAACAACAAAGTATCTGAAAAAAAAAATCAGGAAAACAATTCCATTTATAATAGCTACAAAAAATTCTTAGTAATAAATTTAACCAAGGAGGTTACCTGTATGCTGTACAATGAAAACTATAAAACATTGATGAAAGAAATTGAAGAAGACACAAATAGAAAAATATCTGTCTATAAGGTAGAATGTTATTAAAATGTCCATACTACTCAGAGTGAACTACAGATTCAATGCAATCCCTACCAAAATTCCAATGACATTTTTCACAGAAATTAAAAAAAAAAAATACCCTAAAAGTCATATGGAACCACAAAAGATCCCAAACAATGAAAGTAATCTTGAGTAAAATGAACAAAGCTAGTGACATTACATTACCTGACTTTAAAATATACTGTACTACAAAGCTGTAGTAATCAAAACAGCATGGTACTGTCATAAAAACAGACATAGACCAATGAAACTGAATAGAAAGCCCAGAAATAAATCCACACATTTATGGTCAATTGATTTTCAAGAAAGGTGCCAAGAATAGACAATGGGGAAAGGACAGTCTCTTCAATAAATTGTGAAGAGAAAATTGGATATTCACAAGCAGAGAATGAAAATTAATCTCACATCATATACAAAAATCAACTCTAAGTAGATTAGAGACTTAAACGTCAGACCTTAGACTGTAAAACCGCTAGAAGAAAACGTAGGAGAAAAGCTTCTTGACATTGGTCTGGGCAATGATTTTTTGGATATGACCCCAAAAGCACAAGCAATAAAAGTAAAAATAAACAAGTGGGGCTATAACAAACTAAAAAGCTTCTGCACAGCAAAGGAAAAAATCAAAAGAGTGAAGAAAGAACCTACAGAATGACTGAAAATATGTGCAAACCATGCATATGATAAGGGGTTAATATCCAAAATATATAAGGAAGTAATACAACTCAAGAGCAAAAACACAAATAATCTGATTTTACAATGGGCAAAGGACTTGAATAGACATTTCTCAAAAGAAAACACATAAATGGTCAACAGGTATATTAAAAACTGTTCAATATCACTAATTATCAGGGAAATGCAAACTATAATAGAACCACAGTGATATCACTTCACACTTGTTATAAGGATTATTATCAAAAAGGCAAAAGACAAGTGTTGGTGAGAATGTGAAGAAAGGGAATCCTTTGCACACTACTGGTAGGAATATAAATTAGTACAACCATTATGGAAAACAGTATGAAGGGTCCTCGAAAAATTAAAAATAGAACTACTGTATGATCCAGCAATCTCACTACTGGGTACATATCTAAAGGAAATGACATCAGTACATCAAAGAGCTATCTGTATTCTCATGTTCATTGTAGCATTATTCACAATAGCCAGGATATGAAGATCAACCTAAGTGCCCACCAATGAATGAATGGATAATAAAAATGTGGTATATATACACAATGGAACATTATTTAGTCTTAAAAAGAGGAAATCCTGTCATTTGCAACAACATGGATGAACCTGGAGGACATTATGTTAAATGAAATAAGCCAGGCACAGACAAATACCACATGATCTTACGAATATATGGAATCTAAAAAAGTTGACTCACAGAAGAAGGAATAAAATAATGATTTCTAGGGGCTGTGGCAAGGGGAGAGATTGGTGAGATTTTGGCCAAAGGATACAAAATTTCAGTTAGATAAGAGCAATAAGTTCAAGAGATCTATTGAACATAGTGATTATATTAATAACAATGTATTATATTCTTCAGATCGCTAAGAGAATGGATTTGGAGTGCTCTCACAACATAAAAGTTGTATGTGAGGGAATGCATATGTTAATTAGCTTGATTTAGCCATTCCACAATGTACGCAGATTTCAAAACATCATGCTGTATGTGAAAAATACAATCTTTGTCACTTTAAGAATAATTATTTTTAAAGTGACAAATATCTAAAAGAAGGACAAAATAACAAAAATACCTGTGTACAATGTCCTTACCTATTCTTATTTGTCAATATATAGGCAAATTATACAAGAGAACAACACTATATTTAATGAGAAAACGATGAAAGTACATGTGATTTTTTATTAAGTAGTTTATTATTTACTTAGATAAGAAATATAAATGTAGAGACCTGGTTTTAATATAAACACTAAGACAAATAAGAGTCCAGGTCACAAATTAAATGGAGGTCTTTCCAAGACTACAAATGCTTCCCAAATTCTGAAAGCCACCAGATTTTAATGATTATTTAGGTTCAATGATTTTCTAAAATAAAAAAAAAAATGCTAATTATACACACAATTATACAGTTCAAAGTCATTGAAAACATCTCTGAAATGTAAATATTTGGAGGCTAGTAAAATTCAAGTCACAAAAGTACGGTCCCAATAGCTTCAAAAAGTTACATACATGATAAATAAACTGTAGCCTATTCAAACAATGGAATACAACTCAGTAATAAAAAAGAATGAAATGTTGATGCATGCAACATGGGTGAATCCCAAAAAAACCAGGCTGAGTGAAAGAAGCCTTACATAAAAGTTACATCCTGTATGATTCTATTTATATGACATGGTAGAACAGACAAAACTGATACATGATAAAATAAATAAATAAATAAAAATCAGAACAATAGTTACCACAGAGGGTAGGGTAGAGATCAAGACTGACTAGGAACAGATATATGGGAATTTTCTGGGGTGACAGACATATGTTCTATATCTTAGTAGGAGTTGGGCTTATACAAATGTATGCCTTTGTCAAAACTCACCAAATAACATACAATACTTAAGATTTGTACAAAATTGTTCATAAATTTTATCTTAAAAATGAACATTGCTGGGTGCAATAGCTCATGCCTATAATCCTAGCTACTAGGAAGGCTGAGGTAGAAGGATCACTTGGGGCCAGGAGTTTGAGACCAGCCTGGGCAATATAGCAAGAGCCCATCTCTAATAAGAAAGAAAAAAAGAAACAAAAGGAAGGAAAGAAAGGAAATAAAGGAAGAAAGGAAGAAAGAGAAAGAAAGAAAAGAAAATTATAAATTTTTAAAAAAGAGCATTAAGTAAATATTGATAACTCTACTAATATATTATGCTGAAGTATTTGGGATGAAATGTACAGATACTTGCAACTTATTTTAAAATGCACAAAAAAATTAGATGGCCAGATTGTAATAGAGCAAATATAGCAAAAAATTAAGAACTGAAGAATCTAGGTGAGTATATTCCTTTTCTGTTATGTCTGAAAATTTCCATGATAAAATATTGCGAAAACAATGAAGACAATTAGAATTCAAAAGAAAATAAAAAATATTATACAGAAACATATTCTAATATTAACAATTTTCCTTTTATATATTAACATTTTAATCTGTCTAATCTAGTGTCAACTGTGTCTATCTTCTACAGAGCAAGACTTAAAGGATGATGTATTTTTAAAAATTTGAAAGACATACCCGAATTTCTTGAAGATTGTGAAAATTATTTCCTACTCTGACTGAGATCTTGCTTGGAGTATAGCTTTCATCAGATTTATAGTCTGCATAAATACATAATGTCTTCACTGTTGTTTTTCTTCTAAAAGCAACAAGGTAAAAACAACATACACTTCATCATCTGGAAAGATTATTTCCAAAGCTTCTTACCTTCTGATTTTAAAAGTCATAGTGTGCTAAAACAAGTATTTGAATAAACAATTTTCATTTTCTTTAATTTCAATAATGAAAATGAAAAACATGTAAAAATACGGATACAGATATAATAGTTTACTTATATATACATCTCTTATGTAGAACATAGTTAAGAACCAGATGTTAGCAAAGATGGTACAGTTAATCCAAATTAGGTACATTATTGAGCTAATATGCATTAAGAATTTCCATCCTCTTCATTTGTATCTGAGACAAAGAAATTATTCAAACAAGCCTGGCTTTCTTTACTAGTTAATTAATTTCCTATATTAATGCTTGAAAATAACTAGCTAAGTGAGAAACTGAGTCCAGCAAAGAAAAAAACATCTTTTTAAAAAATAGAAAGCATAACCTATTACTTAATGTAAGAATTAAAAGTTTGCTCTTGTTTTTTAAATATACATAATCTAGGGAAATAAGCAAAGAAAATAAAATCAAAAATTAACCTCAGAAAAATGCAAGTGGCCAAAAAACATGAAAAGATGCTCAATTTCTAATAATCAAAGAAATTAAAATTAAATCACACAGAGATAGTATTTTTATCATATTGGAAAATACTAAAATGACTGATTATATCTACATTTGTTCAGAAAAAAGGTGCTTTCACAGCCAGTTAGTAGTACACAATCTTTGACCCACTAATTCAACTTCTAAGAATGCATTAAAAGACAATAATAACACAATTATTCAAAAATGGATGTAGAAAAATATTGTCCTGTAATTAAATTACTAAAAAATTATAAGCAACCTAAATATCCATAGCAATAGGGAATTGGTTAAATAAATTATAAGATATCCATTTTATGAAATACTACACAACTATCTAAAATTGTCACATCTTATAGAAAACAAAAAATTTTAGAAAGGCATATAAACCTATATTTATATATACAAAAAGACCTAGATGGAATCATACAAAAATGTTAAAAGTGACTATTTTGGTGAGGTAGAACTATGAGAGATCTTTATTTTCTTCTTTAAGATATCTACGTTTTCTGGATAATTTTTCAGAATGAGCATATGCTATTTGGCCATCAGGAAAAAAAAAAACTAGGCAATTTAAAAAACTGACGCCAAAAAACCATTTAAAAGTCTATTTAAATATGCTTTAAAAGTTAAGTTCTAGTATAAACTGGCACTAACTTAATAACAATGAGCTGCTTGAAACAGAAGTAGTCTGTGTCAAAAGTCAGCCTATAAAAACAGCAGGGGATCTTTAGCTCTTAGTGAGAGGACCAGACTTCTATAGCTGATGCTATTCATCAGAAAGGAATGGGGAAAGTTAAGGACTTTTCTTCAGATCAAGATGTAAAACACTAAACACCCAGGATCTGCTGACAGAATAAATACCATTACCAGGTTTTCAAAAGAGGCCAAAGATATCAAACTGACATCTTTCTCTTTCTGCTAGGCCAGGAAGGAGAAAGACAGGAAAGGAAGCAAAGACAGAAGGGAAAATTTTGAAGGGCATACTAAAGGCCTTTTTCCTTGAAGAGCCATGCAAGAAGTAAAAGGTCTTTTTAACTACGGAGAGATCAAAGATCACAAAGATTACTCTCAAGGATTTTTTTTTTAAACAAAAGTAGACCTAAGAGATCATGTTTTTTGTTCAGAATAATTTTATTTCTAAATTATGAAATTCAGGATAACTTAGTCATTGGAACCTACAAGATAACCAGGATGAGGTTAGAAAGGGAAAAATAGTAATAATGCTTATGATAATAAAAATAATGGCAGCAAATAGCAAGTGAATACTTTGTGTCTGACCCAGAAGTAATGCTTTATTGGATTATCTCATTTATTCTTCAACCTTGTGATATAGGATATATTATTAGCTCCGTTTCACTGATTAAAAACACTAACACTCCCCTTAATAATTGGCTTAAGGTCAATAAGGTAGTGGGTAGGCACAGTCGGAGTTCAAAAGTGTGTCTGTGTGCCTCATGTGATCTTAACCACTACGGCCTTCCTTTTAATTAATTATACTTAGCCTATTCAACAGTCATTGAAACCAGCTTAGAGTGATATGTAGGTGTGTTTTGTAAAGGGGCCATATATGTAAAGCTACTCGCAAATGCAGAAGGAGCCGAGGAACCAAAGAATGAGGCAGACAAATACAGTCTGTTGGTTTAGGGTGTTTTATTGGGGAACTTATGGACAGAAGCATGGGCTTGAGCAGCCACAGACAGGTAGATCTCCGCCCTATTATCCCCAAGACCCAGGACTTATATACTATAGGGAAAGGGTATGCGTGCTTCAGAGAGAATGTGCAGGAATTTGTTCAAGGGCAGTGTTTATGCTAAGTATGTATTTATGATAATTGATCTAAGGGCAGGATTTACATGTTCTAACATAAAGAACAACAGATAAACTGGAAATCTTAGAGGCATTCCCAGGACTGGGGTTAATCAGAAGTCAACATGGAGGATTAGCATCCAAGATGGATACTGAAGAAATGTTCCAGATTAAAGGAGTATAGAGAAAAGACTATTAAATTCAACTTGTGATTCGACTTTATTGGAACAACTAATACAACCTAAATGATAATGTAGAATTAAACAGTAATAATATACCAATGTTAATTTCCTAAGGGTATATTTTGGTTATATACAAGAATATCTTTGTTTACAGGAATGAAATACTAAAGTATTCCAGAGGGATGAGACATCGTATTGATAACTTACTCTGAAATAATTCAGAAAAAAAAAGTTGCACTGTACTTGCAACTTTTCTGTGGTGTGAGATTATTTCAAAATTCTTAATGAATTTCCCTTTTTCTAAAACACTTGTTTAAAAAAGTGTTCCTCAAAGCTTTGGGTTCCCTAATGAAGGCAAAGTCTGAGTTAAGTGGGGAGGGGCTTGAATTTCTTATTGTTTTAATAAGAACAGCTACACCTTTTGTTGAGAAGCAGTTTAGAGAACTGATTACAAACTCAGCCCTTGAAGTCAAACCTGCTGGGATCAAATCCAGGCTCCATAACTACATGGTATATGACCCGACTAAGTTATTAATACTATATCTTTCTAAGCTTAATTTTCATCATCTGTAAAATAAGAAAAAATGATAAGAACCTAAAACTATCTTGCAAGGTTGCTATGAGGATTATAAAAAATGATATATATTTATAACTATTAAATTTTAAATTTAAACTCTTGATGAAATCGTATAGTATCTGACAATAATGCTCAAATGTGACCAATTTTTATTATTATTTGTTCAGTACATTTGCCTTCTGCATAGAGCTTTATCTGCTAAAAAAAAAAAACCCCTGCTATTCTAATATAATACAGTTAAATTAGGACACTCACCATATAACTTTGAAGCTATAGCCTTTGTTTTCATGAAGAAGCAATTTACCCTGGGTCATACAGGACAATAGTTAAAAGCAAAGGCTCTAGATCCGCCTGTAGTCCCAGCTACTCAGGAGGCTGAGGTGAGAGGATTGTTTGAGCCCACTAGGAGTTAAAGACCAGTCTAGGCAACATAACCCTGTCTCTTTAAAAAAAAAGAATAGAAGAAAAAAAGCAAAGCAAAGCATAGCAAAGCAAAGCACAGGCTCTGGAGTCAGAAAACTTGAGTTCCAACTGTAATTCTGCCACTTCCTTGCTGTGTGACCTCGGGAAAGGAATTTAATTTATCTAAGTCTCCATTTCTGAGACTACAAAATAAGGATAATAATAATTGTAAAGGTTATATAAGATGAAAGGAAAGGCATTTAGAAAAGTATCTGGTATCTTAAGTCTCAAAAAAACCAATCAGCTGCTGTTACTTCTTTTCTGTACATATTTAATATACTACGATAAGAGTTGGCATACTATGGCCTGTGGGTCGAATCCTGCCCACCCTCTGCTTTTATAAGATAAAATTTAATTACAATGGCTAAATTCAGTCATTTATGTATTGTGTATGGCTGCCATACAATGTATTGTTTTGTAAGGGCAGAACTGATTACTGTAGCTGCAACAGAGACCACATGGCCCACAAGGTCTAAAATATTTACTATCTGGCTTTTGCAAATGAAGTTTGCTAATTTGTGCCCTAGGACAATAAAAACAAAGGACCAAAAATACAATGCTACAGAATGTTAAAACAGATAGTATAGATGCAGCAAGATAACCATTAACTAGTTTCCATCTATGCCAATAAATTCAAAGCAGCTGACAAACGTTTGGCTGTTTTCCTTTCTTCAAAAAAGCAAGCATTTTTAAAAATGAAGATGTTCTTTTCTAAGTTAAAATAATTTTTGTTCCAAATAGAAGTACAAATTTGAGAAGTTATATAAATATCCTATAGCTAAAGAACTTACCATCGTCACTTCAGGTTTACTTATTCCAATATATTAAGGTATTGTATTAGACCACAAGCAAAATAATATTAATACTAATACTTCATAAAAGATAAGACAGAGTAAATTTAAGATGCTATTAATAACTACCTAATTAAGCAGAAAAATGATCTCTGAAACTTATTACAGTTTAAAAATAGTTAAGTATTTCATTGTAATTTCTGTATTTATTTAATTTTTATGTAAATAAAATAGATTTTTTTAATCCACTTATAACCTATACTAGTTGAAAAATACAAAAAATGTGTTACCTGAATTGAATGTTCACTAAATGAGGCTGGGAGCCATCTGATTGCCAATAAGTTTCTAGATTGTCATCTCGTAATTGATCCACTCCAAATCCTAAAAATACCAAAAGTGGCAATAAGTTCCCATTAAGAAGAAAGACCTACACATACAGAGCCTATATTAGGACCATGTCTTTGGTTGTTATGTTTTTAGAAAACATTTTCTAGGATATATTCTAAAGTATTACATGTATGTATTGAAACCCAGTTTCTTATACTTTTTGTGAGCTGATAATAAGAATGATCCCCATGTTCTGCAAAATCATCAAAAATATTCTATTTAATAGTAAGTTCAATATGCCATTCTTACTGTGACAAGAAAAATGACAACTTAAAAATATTTTCAAAAGGCATATACATTTTGATACCAAGTGCTTCTGATTTAAATTCGAATTAATGAAAATTAAATTTACCCAGAATCCCGTATCTTCCAGCCATTCTAGATAATAGTACAACTTCAATGTTCTACTATTGTTTTTTCCCAATTAAAACCCCAATAATTCATACTAATTCTAGAAATGAGCCTGATTTAATGGTAAAGTGTAGGTTTTTCAAAAAAAGTTAAGAGAAACAGATTAAATTTACATTTTATTTGTTGACTAAGTAATATATTCATTATCGGTCAAATTCAGAAGATACAGAAAAGAACATGATGAAAAGTCACTATTCCCCTACCATTTCATTCCCCTCTCCAAATATAATTAATGTTATCAATTTATTGCATACACTTTCACAGATATTATATATATATACAAGCAATCATATACATATTTTTCCCTCTCTTTACACATACTATAAATAATTCCACATTTCGTTTTTTTATTTTTTTATTTTCACTTAATATATCTGGAAGATTATTCTCTATCAGTAAATTAACAATAATAATAGCAAACATTGATATAACGTTTACTATGTGCCAGGCACATTCTAGGCATTTTACATATTAAATCATCTGATATTTATTAACTTACGTAATAATTTAATTAATACAAATAGCTTCTATACTTTTTAAGGTTATAAAGTATGCCACTGTCTGAAAATAGCATAATTATCTACCCAAACCCCTGTAGGACAGTTAGGTTGTTTCCAGTGTTTTGCTATTACAAACAACACTGCAATAAATACCTGTCTATAACCTTTAAATATATATTACTACTTCTGGAGGATGGATTTCTAGGAATAGAATCTTGGATCATTTCAATCTTTAATTTGACAAATATTGCCAAATTCTCCTCCAAATTGCTTCCTCACCGATAATATATGAGAACATCTATCCCCTCTCCATGGCTTGTAAACATTGGGATGTTCTATAATTTATTTATTTATATTTCAGAATATTAAGGGGGTATAGATGTTTTTGATATATGGCTTAAGTCAGGGCTATAAATGTGCCCATCACCAAATAGTGTTCATTGTACCTATTACATGGATTTTGGCTCCTCCCCTCCTCCCCCAACCCTGCTGCTTGATTTCTAATGAGTTTTACCTCCCTCTATGCACTTGTGTGCCCATCGGTTAGTTCCAATTTATTAGACAGTACATGTGTTGTTTGTTTTTGCATTCTTGAGATAGTTCACTTAGGATAATGGTCTCTAGTTCCTTCCAAATTATTGCAAAAGGCATTAATTCGTCCTTTTTTATGGATGAGTAGTACTGCATGGTATACATACACCACATTTTGTTTATCTATTCATGAACTGATGGACACTTGGATTGATTCCGCTTCTTTGCAATTGTGAAATTGTGCTGCAATAAACATTCGATTACAGGTGTCTTTTTGACAAAATAATTTCTTTTTCTTTGGGTAGACACCTAGTAGTGGGACTGCTGGATCAAATGGTAGGTCTACTTTTAGTTCTTTGAGAAATCTCCACACTGTTTTCCATAGGGGTTATACTAATTTGTAGTCCCACCAACAGTGTCTGAGCATTCCTTTCTCTCTGCATGTGTGCCAGCATCTATCGTTTTTGGGCTTTTTAATAAAAGCCATTCTAACATGAGTAAAGTGATACCTCATTGTGGCTTTAATTTACATTTCCTTGATGATTAGTGAGGTTGAGCATTTTTTCATATGTTTGTTAGCCATTTGTCTATCTTTCGAAAAACTTCTGTTTATGTCACTTGCCCACTTTTTAATGGCATTGTTAGTTTTTTTCTTGCTGATTTGTTTTATGCTAGATTTTGAAGACTTCATATGAAAAAATTTAAATATATATTTAATAATTAATTGTACCTGTTTCTTTTTACCTTTTTAATGTGGTTGCCAGATCATTTTAAATTGTAAATGTGGTTTGCATTATAGTTCAGTTGGACAACACTACTCTGCACTCATGCTAAAATGCAATCGATCTTTTAGATTGATTTATTAACCTAACAGGTAAAAATTCTATTTCACAGTTTTGTTAACCATTTACATTTCTTTTCATATAAAATTTCATACCTTCCTACATGTTCAATAGATTTTAGTCTTTTAATTGATTTATAACTCTTTTTACTATTATAGATATTAACCCTCTGTCTGTTCCATGTAATCCAAATATATCCTCCCCAGGCTGAGATTTGTATCTTAAATTTGCATTTGCTGCCTTTATTGAACATACTAGCATATAAGAGAGGTTCTCCCAAAGAAAGTGACTTTTGCATTGAACTCTGAAGTACTTAGTTAACTAGGTTTGGAAGCTAAGGCTAAACATTGCTGTGGAGCAGGCAATAAGCCAGAGACATTTGAAGAAGCTAGATCACACAGACTCTTGTGCAGTAAGCTAAGGAGTATAAATTACCTTGAAAAATATGCCAACCTATTGAAGAATTTTTAGTAGGGAAGTCATAGGATCAGCAATTATAAGATCAAAATCTTTAGATGGATTGTTCAGCCCCAGGGAGAGAGAACACCATTGTGGTAATATAAGTTACAAGTGATGATATTCTTAATTAAGGTGGTGACAAGAAAATAGTTTTCTATTAAAATGTAAAACTGGGGCTATTACTCACTCTATGACTCTTAAATCTGCATTATTCAATATGGTAGCCACCACATGTTGCTACTAAACACTTGAAATATGGCTAGTCTGAATTGATACGGAAAGTGTAAAGTAAGTAAAATATACACTTGTTTTTGAAGACTTAGTATAAAATGTAAGATATAAATATTAAAATCAATCCAGTGTACAGTAGTCCCTTCTTATGTGCAGTTCTGTTTTCTGTGGTTTTACTTTCCCCAGTTTCAGTTACCCCAGGTCGACCTGAATCTGAAAATATTAAGTGAAAAATTCCGGAAATAAACAATTCATAAGTTTTAAATTGCATACTTTTCCAAGTAGTGTGATGAAATTTCTTGCCATCCCACTCTGTCCCACCCAGGGCACGAAACATCTCTTTGTCCAGCATATCCACCCCTTTGTCCAGCATATCCATGCTGTATACACTATCTACCTGTTACTCACTGACATCATCTGCTCCTGATATCCAACCATCAACACCGTCATGGCTCGGTGATCCAGAATCAACTCCCAAGTAGATGCTCCTCCTCCTTCTGAACTACTGTCAGAAGGTAAATAGTAGCCTAACACTATGTCACAACGCCTACGTCACTCACCTCACTTCATCCCATCAGGTAGGTATTTTATATCTCACATCATCACAAGAAGGGTGAATGTAGTACAATAAGGTATTTTGAGAGTGAGAGAGATCACATTTGTATAACTATTATTACAGTATAATTGTACTATTTTATTATTAGTTAATGTTAATCTCTTATTGCACTTAATTTATAAATTAAACTTTATCATACGTACGTATGTATAGGAAAAAACATAGTATATATAGGGTTCAGTACCATCTTTGATTTCAGGCATCCACTGGGGATCATGGAACCACCCATGATAAGGGGGGATTACTGTACAAGGAAATTGAAAGTAACTATTCCTGACGGTTTTTGCATTTTGTTTTACCTGGTTTGCAAGATGAAAGTGACCAAACAGCTTGTGACCCAATTTCCCGTACTGTTCCAGTCCTTTCCAACTGCTTTGGGTCAGCACCAGGAGGTGTTTTGTTTGGAGTGGTCATTTTTTAAATATTCTATGCAGAAAAAAAGAATATGCACATTACACCAGAGGCTGAGCATCTTTATACAAAAGGTAAAAGTAAAAATTTAACAGCAAAATGGATCACTCATATATCCCAATATTAATCATCTATTTCTCAAATGCAGTTAATATAACTCAATCACTATAATCAAAAAATCTTGGGAATTCAGTTTTTGTTTCTGAAACATATTATGACCAGATGTGCAAAGCAGTAGAGTATGGTACTCAAAAGAGCACAGGAACAAAGTTTTGGCTTCAGCACTTCCTTTAACCACCCTAGACTTTGAAAAGTTTGGGCTTTATTTCCTCTCCTGTCAAAAAAGTTGATTTGATGACTTTTAATTCTATACCACTATGCAGTTCTATACTTCTATGAGTAAAAATTCAAATGACTTTTAACCCTAGAAAAGTCAGATTGAAATTCTCTTATTCCAGGAATATATAAATATTGGTATGTTATTGATTGATAGATTGATTGATAGGGTCTCGCTTGGTCACCCTAAAGGACAGCGGCAATGATCATAACTCACTGCAGCCTCCAAGTCCCATGCATAAGCCATCTTCCTGCCTCAGCCTCCCCAGTATCTGGTGCTATAGGCACATGCCACAACGCTGAGCTAATTTTTTTAAAAAATTTTTTGTAAAGACGGGCTTCTCACTATGTTGCCACGGCTGGTCTCGAAATACTTGCCCCAAGTGGTCCTTTCGCCTCAGCCTCCCAAAGTGCTGGCATTACAGGTGTGAGCCACCAAGCCTAGTCCTGGTCCTCATTTTAAATATTCATTAAATGATGCAGAGAACAACTATACCTCCCCATTAGCTGTCAAAAGTTCCATTTACATGTGCTCTTACCATATAAGATAAAGTCAGAAAAAATGGCTTCAAGGTTTAGCAGTCAATAACTGGCCTTTTCTAAAAAGGTTGACTTCATCTTTCATATCTTTTGTTAATAAATATGCAAACGTGAAAAAAATACTTCTTGGATAGTGAACAATATGTAAAGCTGCTTTGGTAGCACACTTACTGCTACTGAACATTGTTACACATGCTATTGAAAACCAGATCCAATAGTTCTGTATATACCATCTCCTTGACACCTCCCATTAGATCTCAAGTTGTTCTCTAATAAGCACTTGATATTCTTAAATAATGGCAGAGACAGTGGACCGTAAACTTCGGAAAGGCCGCAGACGTAAATGCTCAATAAGTAACTTCCTGAATTAATAAATGAATAGGTTTAGTCATAAATTAAAGTATTTGCCACTTGCCTGCAAGTTAACTGAGGTCTCGGACAAGATTATTAAACCTGTAGCCATCATTACAAATTGAATGTCCTGTCATCTAAAATAAATAAATAAAAAGCCCATCTCTACATTGGGGCAGAATTCAATTGCCGGACTTGGAAATGGACGCCACCAAGTGGATAAAACACGCAGCTTGGGGGAAGAACGGGTTCCTGGCCTTAAAGAACTGACCACACAGATGACAGGGAGCTGAGGCCAAAGAGAGCGCGCCACCGCGAGCAGTGTCGGGACCAGACTCTGTTGGTACTGCCTGACACCTCTGGCGTGATAGAAAGACGAAGGCTCCACGCCTGACCCATCGGCCTTGAGGAGACGGCGAGCGCAAAAAGAGAATGAGACTGGGGAGGAGAATGCATCTGCTTACACTAGGACCATTCTTTACGTTGGGGAAAAGCCCACACACTTACAGATTCCAGACCCGGCTGGCCGCAACTCAGGTTCTCAAGACCTCCAGCAGTTCCGCGCCACTCCCACTAAGCTTCTAAGGCCAGCCCGGCTTCGCAGACGACGAAGAATTGGGGTCGCAGCACAATGACGTCAGACATTGTCATCCCGCCCTGCCTACCTTCAGAGCTCCGCCTCGCGCTCTCTGTCGCGCGCGCGCACTAGGCCCTTATGGCTCGCGCGAGGCGGCGGCTGGGCACCGCCATTTTGGCCGGTGGCCGTAAGAGCACGCTGTGTGGTTGAGACGTGAAGGCAAGAACTGATTTGGCCTCTGCGCTCCCCTCCGCAAGGGGATCGTTTACTGCAGGTACGTGAGTAGCCCGGAGGGGTTTGGCCGTTAGCTGCCATCTTCCCCGTTGGAAAGACTGTAGGGACGTTCTCCGAGAGCCTTTGGTTAGGCCTCAGGTGGCGGAGACAGCGGCGCGTGGCAGCCGGCTTCGGTGGGACAGCTGGAACCGCCGGAGCGCGGGTGACGCCGAGAGCCTGGGGACGCCTCGTTCTGCCCCTCCAGCAGACCAGCTTTCGGCCACTGGTGCCCGCCACCCCCGCCAGGGGCTGCGAGAATGGACCTAGATGCCATCGTACGCACTCCCCCTTTACCCTGCTCCCACCCTGGAGCGAAACCTTCCGGAGAGGAAGGCACCTTCAGAACTTAACGGCACCCCCTGGTCCCCCCAGGATCCCCCCGTGATTATATTGTAACATGTGCGTATTTCGTCGTGGGAAGTCGTGGCTTTTCTTCCACCTTTTGGTGATTGTGGAATGAGTCATGGCATCTTGCCGCCATGAAGTCGAATATTCCCTGTCCTCTCCCGGGCTTTATAGAAATGATGGCCAAACCGCGCTCTACTTTTCTCATGGAACAACGTGTGCTCGGCTGTGACGGGTTATCCCAAGTAATTTCCCAGTCGAATGCCTTTTTAGCTTTTTTGGTACGCTTTTATCGCACCTGAACTTTTTCCTCTTGGTGATTTATCCGTTTTTCCCTTGTTATCTTAATGAAACTCCTTGAGATCGAGGGTGATGTCTTTACTCAGAATACCTCATTATCTCTTCAAAGCTTCGAACGTTGTAGGCACTTAGTATTTCTTGTGAATGAATGACAGCCAAAGCTGAATTCCCTTATTCCATGAACTACATAAATGTATTTTCTCTTTCTCGATGGTAAAATCGGTAAGAGTGAGGAATAACTGTCCAAACAACTTTTTATTTAACCTTCTCTTCCATAGGACTGCTAATTAATCACTTAGGACAGTAGCATTGATGTTGCAGTAGTTTGTCCCATATACTGAGAATATTTATTTTATACCTGACACCTGACAATAATGCTTTGTCGGTGTGACCAAAGGCTGTTATCTGTATTTGAACCAAAAGGTTTTTTGGGTTTTGTTTTGTTTTAGTTAAAAGCACTGTTCTTCCCTATTTAAAAGAAATTTTGTTGTTTTTTTTTTCTTTTTTAGGAAGGACATTTAACATCATTGCTGGGGGAAGGGGAGAAAGAATATTAAGTTAGAGTTCCTTCTCAATGTCTTGAATTTAAGACTCTTTGAAATCAGAGTTGTACACAACTCTCATCTTGTTATAAGTGTTTTATGAGACTAATAGCCTACAATAAGCATAGGTTAGAATATTTCATGTAATATCAAAGCATCATTAATTAACAGAAATCTTTGAAAATGTTTTACACAGCATTGCAATAATTTTGGTTTTAGAATGTAAATGCTTTCCATGTATGCTTCGCTTCCTTTTTTCTCTCAGCTGGAAGAATGACACTGTGTCATTGTTTGAATGCCCATTTTGAATAGTTTGTTTTCAGATCTGAACTATCTTCAAATCCATCTTTGTTCCTAGGAGTCTGTCTTCCCCATAGAGCTTTCCTTTGCCTATGTTTTATATTGTAAAAGAAAGTAAGGAACCCACTTTCCCTAATTCTTGAAACTAATATAGAAATTGAATTAAAAGTGTTTACACACTTAATAATTCTACAAAGAATCAATATTCATTTTTCTTAAATGCATTATAATTTATCACTATTTTTATGTAAATAAGTTTATTAACCACTTCTGGTATATTTTCATTCTTTATTCTGTGCCTGAAGTCAAGGCTACTCAGGAGGCTGAGGCAGGAGGATCACTTGAGCACAGGACTTTGAGGCTGTAGTGCCCTATGATCACACCTATGAATAGCATCTGTACTCTAGCCTGGGCAACATAGCAAGACTTCAGCTCTTAAAAAAAAAAAATTCTTTCTGATAGATCCTTAATTTCTAAAATAGTTTGAAAAATTAGATGAAATGTTTTAGTAGTTTGACAGAAATAAAGTTTCGGGAATTTTGTTATAAAAGGTTTATCCGCTGGAGGAGAATTCATTATGCTCTTTCTCTTTCATTGGGTAATTTGTAGAAAGGCGTTCAGTATTTAAATTGGAATGGGTGGTGTCCGGTTTTATTTTAATAGTTTGCTAAAGGATCTTCCAAACTTAGGAAGTCATCATTTCCAGAATGGTAGCTTTTTTGTAGCAATTTGTAGCAAGTCATTTAATTTCTTCCCTTCTCTAATTTTTACAAGACCTGGACCAGTTTTTAAAGGAGTAAAGTGAACCTGTTTTTTAGCACAGCTCTATGTTTATTACATGGATATTTAGTCTCTTTTGGGGTGATTTTCTTTTCAGTATATAGTAGACTACTGTCACCATAAAATATTGATAACCTGCAAGATTTCTAAAGTTGTTATAACCTATAGGAAAATTATTTTGTTTAAATTCATTTTCTCCTTCAGAAATGTTTGAATTCCTACTATGTGCTAGACATTGGTTCAGCCACTGGAATGAACAAACAAAAATCCCTGCCCTCGTGGTAAAGTACATTCTACTTGGGGAAGGAAAAAAATGTTTGTGTGTATGTTTATAGAAAGAACATATATATATACGTACACACGTATGATAAATGTGTACATATACACCAGATGTAGATATGAAATATATAGTATGTCATGTAGTAGAGCTAAGTAGAAAAATAAAAGCAGAAAAGAGGGATAAAAAGGCAGTTGAGTATTTTTTTGTGGTATAGCTAGAGAAGGCTCACTGAGAAATGGACAGCAAAGATTTGAAGGAGTGAGCTGTGTAACTCTAGGGGGAGAAGCATTACAGGCAGAAGGAAGAAAAAATGCCAGGATCCTGAATCAGGAACATGCCTGCAATGTGCTAGGAACAACAAGGAGCCAATGTAGCTGGAGCCAAATGAACAAGAGCTAAAGAGTAGTTGGAGTTGAGATCAGAAAGTCAGCAGAGGCTGATCAATGCCTCATTGATTATTTTAAGGACTTTGGCTTTTACTCATACTGAGAAGTGAAACCATTGCAGGATTTAAGTAGGAGTGACACTATCTGGCTTATACTTTAAAAGGATTACTCTGGATCATGTACTGAGAATGATCTTTTGACGGTTGGAGTAGGAGGCAAGGGTAAAAGCAAAGAGATCTTTTAGGAAGCTATTAGAGTAATGCAGGTAAGAGATGATGATGGCTTAGACCATAGTCATGAAAAGTGGTCTGATTCTGGATGTGTTTCAAAGTTGGATTCAATAGGATTTGCTGTTGTGCAGTGGAAAAGAAAGAGGACTTCAAGGATTTTGGCCTGAGCAAATGGAAGACTGGAGTTACCATTTTGAAAAATGGGCAAGACTGCTAGAAAAGTGAATTTTGGTGAGGATTTCAGCGGCATAGTTAGGGAGATGCCTCCTAGATCTTCTATAGAAGGTGTTGGGTAGGCAGGTAGTTAGATGTACAAGTTTAGGGTTCAGGAGAGATGTCTTGACTGGAGATAGAAATTTGGAAATTGGCAACATATAAGTGCAATTTTAAGCCACAAGACCAGAATAGAACACCTTGGGGGAATGAATGTAGATGGAAAAAATGACCGATTGCTTTTAGAGCACTCTCAAAATTTAGAAGCCTGGTAGGTGAGGAGGAGGAGGTAAGGTAGGAGGAACCAGATTATTGATGTATCCTAGAACCAAGTTAAGAAAGGGTTTTTATCTAGAAGGAAAAAGTCATAATTTATGTCAGATGCAATAGATTGGTCAGGTCAGTTGAGGTCTGATAATTAACCATTCGATTTAGCCACGTGAAGAACAGTAATGGCATGACAAGTTTTGACGAAATGATGGGCACTGGAGCTTGGAATCAATTCCAAAGAGTATTTGTAGAGAGAAATTTGAGACACTTGAGTATAGGCCATTCTTTCAGTAGTCTTGAAGAAGGAGAAATAAAGCAGTGGGAGATGATGGATTCAGATAATACATTGCTTGAATGCTGATGGGAATGAGCCAGTGGAAAGAATAATTGATGATGTTAAAGACAAGAGAGAGAATTGTTTGAACATTATCCATAGGGAATGTCTTCTAGTGTATATAGACTTAGGGAAATATTAATACATACAGTGTGATTGCTGGTTAGCATAAGGGTGCATTTGGGGTGATGGATTTAAAGGAAGGCTAGTTGACAGGCTTTGGTTTTTTTCTCTGTTTTCAGCTGTATGTATGGGTGCAGATGAAGACTGAATTTAACCAAGATTGTGGATAAGGGTGTAAATGATTGGCAATGGAATTTTAGCTGGGTGAGAAGGAAAATGAAGATTACTAAGGATAGTGGAAATGTAGGGTCAAGAGATAGTGATAGTAGGTTTGGAGAATGGGGGGAATCAAAGGGCTGTTGAATGTAGAGGGTGAGCTAAAAAGACAGGAATGGTGGTTGGAGAATGGGGCATTTGAAATTGAAGTTATGGAGAGATTGCAATTATTAGTAATGACAATGTCTAGGGTTTGACCAAAGGAATGAGTAGTGTATGGTGGTGTAGAATACAAGATGTTGGAGGAGAGGAGTTAATGAACTGAGAGGACAGGCTCTTAATAGAGGGATCATCTATGAGCATATTGAAATCACTAAGAATTATGTCAGGAGTTATAAAAGAGGGTGAAAGTTAGCCAATGATTGAAATCTCACAGAATGAAAGGAAGTGATCTGATAGTCAGTAAATGACTAAAGCAGTTGGATGGTGTGAGAGGTAAAATTGACTGTTTTTAGGGAGGAGGGAAAGATTATAGTATGGGACAGCATTGAGGAGCAAGATCTCTTATCCCCCTTAAAGCCTAATGATATTAATGGGTGTAAGAAAGACTTAAAGAGATCTGTAAGGGGAGGCAGTGTGTCCAAAAAAAAATCAGAGTTGAGGATCACAGTAAGAAAAAGTCAACAGAATATCCTTATAAATGAATAATCTTGGCTTCTGGTTCTTTCATTACATATTAGAATAAACTGGAATATTAAGACACTCTTGGGCAGGCATCGTGGCACATGCCTATTCTCTCAGCACTTTGGGAGGCCAAGATGGCAGGAACGTCTGAGCCCTGGAGTTTGAGATTACGGTGTGCTATGATTGTGCCGTTGCAGTCCACCCTGAGCAACAGAATGAGACCCTATCTCAAAAAAAAAAAAAAGATACTTTGGAATTATTTACCTTAATCACCATTGTAAAGAAATTAAGGTCCAAATCACTAAGCCTAATATTGTAAAACATTTTAAAATTCGCTTTGATCTTAATGCTATATAGTGATTACACTTGATGTATATCTTAAGACTTATGAAGGCTTTAAAAATGAGCACAGTATATAATACAGTTGTTAATACTTTGTCTCTTTTTAATTTCATTGCTGTTAGCATAAAATCCATCTGGCCATATCACAAGTTCCCAGAGACATGCAGTTTTTGCTTTTTCCCATTGATCAACATCATGGTCGCAGCCTTAATAATTATTTGCCATTTCCATCAGTATTGTTACAGTGGGGTGACTGAGACATCAAGTAATGCTTAGTTTGAGGGAGGGGGGCAGCGAACATCTTGAATATATTCATTTCCTAGTTTTTCTATTTTATTGGTCTGTATTCATACACTGATATAAGTATCAATTACTAAGGGCTTATATCATTTTTTTTAAATGTGTCTCAAGTGAAAGTTCCCTTATCCTCCTTGTTCTGTTTCAGTTTTCCTGGCAATTGATACTTCTTTTCTTTTTCCATAAGAACTTGAGATTTGGTTTGTCTGGTTTATTTTTTTCCCCATGAGATTGAATTAAATACATAAATTTAATTAGGATTGAAGGATTAAAAAGGATTGAAATGTCTGATATCAACAATTTTTTATTGTAAAAATTGAGCATGTCATTTTATTCAGGTCTTTTATGTCATTCAGTGTTGTTCTGAAAGTATATTCTTGTATATATCTTGTTAGGTATATTCCTAGGTATTTTCTTTTTTGTTACTATCGTAAATGGTAATTTTTTTCTTTCCTTACATACATCTTCTGATTAAGGTATATATGTAAAATTTGGTTTTCACAACCTTACTAGGTTATTTTACTATTTTTTCAATTTTCTTATGTCTTCCAGATCATCATTTCATTTCTGTATAATTATTTATGTCCTCCTCTCTAACTTTTATGCATATGAATTATTTCTCTTAACTAATTGCATTGAATTTGCCATAATTTTGTTAATTTTTCCTTAATAGAAGAGCTGGATATTCTTTACAATTATGGCAGACAAATTAACGAGAATTGCTATTGTCAACCATGACAAATGTAAGCCTAAGAAATGTCGGCAGGAATGCAAAAAGAGTTGTCCTGTGGTTCGCATGGGTAAGTTGTTCTGGGGATCATTTAAAAAAAAGATCATTTAAAAGAAGGTTTTGAAAGAAATAAACTGGTTTCATAGTTCTGTATGGGCTTTAGCATATACTTTGTTTTCCCCATTAGTTTCTTTAAACTATGAAGATGAAAAAACTAGTGTTCTAAATTTCTTTTATTGCTTTGTGACTAAATGGTCCTATTTTTTAAAAAGAATTAGAATAATATATCAACATTTAAAAATTTATTGACTGTGAAATCAAACCAGAGTTCAGGTTAATGGGGAAAGGGCTACCAGAAACTTTGAGAATTGACAGTATTCTCATGTTTAAAAAACAAGAATAAATAGCCTAATAAGAATGACTGTTCTTGAGGTTTGCTGTATTTTGACAATTACATAAATTTCCAGCAATTCAGAGTTGGCTAATTGTCGGTAATCTTTAAGGGCTATGTTAAACAACTATTACTTTAAATGTACTAGTGAGGTATAGACTTATTGAATCTTAAAAGAAATTTTAGATGTCGTTTGTTATTGTCTCCCATGCTATTCAGAAATTCCATTATTAATATCCCTAATACCTTGTTTAAATTTACCTGTATATTAGATGATTACATACCTTTTTGGAGTTTCACTGATCTAGCTAATGTATACATTCCTTTCTGTGATGTGCATTACGATTTCCAAGCATATTTTATGAATTAAAGATTCAGGTCAGTCAACTTAAAAATAAAAATATAAGTTCAGAAATTAATTCAGAAATATACCCCCACAAAGCTGCAATTTAAGACATTATCTCAAATGTATTTCTTTGTGTGGCCTTTGTTTTTGAAAGTCTGCTTGTTTATGGAAAATTGGAACTGGTATTGCCTAAATAACAGTGTCCAGAAAATTAGAAGATCAGGGAAAATGACTTGATTGTATTTTTTCCTTCATTAGGAAAATTATGCATAGAAGTTACACCCCAGAGCAAAATAGCGTGGATTTCTGAAACTCTTTGTATTGGTTGTGGTATTTGTATTAAGGTAAGTAATGATACTTTATTTATTGGATCAAATTTATAACCTGAAAATGAAATCTGAAATTCTGAATACTATGTTAAGAGTATTTTTTAAAGAGGCCAAATACAAAACAACTGAATAAAAAAATATAAACTTAGTAAAGTGGGATTCTAATATCAATGATATTGTTGCTTTTTTAAGTTAATTAAACCACCCTTTTTAAAAGTTATTCTTACTATACTCAACTTTGTAAAACCATTTTAAAGGAAAATTAATTTCTTTTTTCACCCCTTTGTGAGCAGGACATGCTCCAGAATGTCTTTACCAGAAAGTTTTGGAAATACAGATGTAAAAAAAAAAGACTGTTATATTAACATTTTTTTTCAACTCTGTATTTAATTTTAAATTCACACTTTTTAAATAGAAGTACAACCAAGAATTTTTAAATTTAACCTAATCCTTAAGTGCTGCTTTGTGCTTCTGGTTATCCCGATAATGTAATTTTTAAAATAGCTCAATTAGTTTTTGTTGCATTGAATAGTTTGATTAGGCTTTTTGACTTATTAATGGTATTTTCAGCTCTAATTCATAAAAGAAATTTAGGAAACAGTGTATGAAGTTCTTAATTTGGATATATTTATTTGTAGATATTATTAAAAGGAGCTTCATCAGAGTATGGATGCCACTCTTAATTGTTCAAATAAATCATATGCATATTTTGCATTGGTTTCTGAATCCTTGGCTAAGTATCCAGAAAGATTTTCTAAATAACTGAAAACACTTTCCCTTGTTTTGAAAAAATAAGCCAGAAACAATCCTTCGAGGAAACAATCTCTTACTAGATGCCTGCCTATGTGTAGTCTATTCATAGGTACTTGGAGTCTGGTTTTGAATACTATAGTTATCATCTATTCTGTTTTCTTTGCTCCTCTAGGAAAATGAGAGTCCAAAATTTTGGACACATACTTGAGTAGCTGAAAACATTCCAATGAGATGAATCTTTTTGGGGGTGGGGAAGTAATATATAGTTCTGAACACTGAGATACTTAATGATGTACCTCATATATGAACAGTGTGGTTATTTTTTGCCTTGTAAATTTAAAGAAGCTTAAATCACTTACAACCTATAAGCATTTTGTGTACATTGATGAAAAGGGAATAATGTAG